GCTGGAAGGGAAGCGGGGCTGCCGGGATTAGAACCGGCGCCCATATGGGATCCTGGGCGTGCTAGGCGAGGACCTTAACCACTTGCACCACCGCGCTGGGCCCAAATAATTCTTTTTTTAAAGGCCAGCATCACAAGCAGTAGCTTAACACACCACAACACTGGCCTCAAGACTTCCCTTTCTAATATAGATACTTACTGTTCTAAACTTCCCTCTGAGTACTACTTTTGCATGTACCTGTAGGTTTCTTTTTTTTTTTCTCATTTATTAAGTAAATTTTTTAATTTCCATTTTGGTTTCTTCAGTGACTCATCATTTGCTCAAAGGTATGTTGCTCGGTCTTCACGTATTTGCATAATTTCTTAAATTTATGCTGGCTATTTCTAGTTTTATTCCTTTTGTTCAGAAATGATATATGATTTTAATTTTACTGAGACTTGTGGCCCAACACTTCTGTATTGTGTGGCCATGGAGAATGTTCCATATGCAGAAGAAAGGAATGTGTACTCTGTGACTGTTGAAGGAAATTATTCACAAAAATGTTGTTAGATCATTTTGCTTGTGGTACAGTTTAACGGATTTTATTTTTCATCAGATGTGTCTGGGGATGGAAGTAAGGTATTGACATCCACTACCTTACTGTATAACCCTGATTCTTCCTTTATTTTGATTCATGTTTGTTTATGAAATTAGGTGCTCTGGTGCTAGGTGCATATATACCTTCAATAATTGACCCCTTGGTCATTATATAGTGACCTTCTTGATCTTTTCCTACGGCAAAGTCTCTTTAGTTTGGGTTCCATTGTATGGAGTATCTTTATCCATCCTTTCATATTGTTTGCTTTTGACTCATGAAGTTGTATACCATAAATTGTAGGGTCTTGTTTCTGATCAGCCCATCTGCATCTTATAATTGGGAGACTTAGTCCATTTTCATCCATTTCCTGAGTAAGATTTAGTGCTGTTCTTTAAAAATTCTGTTTTGAATATCCTTTGTTTGTCATCCTCTTGTTGTTCATCTTTGCAGCTTGTTGTGGTTAACTATTGATAAGTGCATTTCTTTTCTCTTTCATGTATCTGCTCCTCTAATGGATTTCCTAGGAGGGCACTTCAAAGAATATGGACAATTGAATTAAATGATGTTTATTTTGGTGCTGACAAATTAGAAATCAGTTTTTTCTAGAATACTCATTTTTCTATTACTTCCTAAATATCTTTCATATTTTCACATTTCTAATATAGTTATCTTTGTTTTCCTTCTGGATGTAAGATTCCTTTAAGCACTTTTCATAACATTGGCCTGGTGGTGATTAAGTCCTTCAGTTTCAGCCTACTTGATAAGTCTTTTATTTGTCTTCCACTTAACAATTGATATGGTATTCTTGGCTTGCAAAGTTCCTTTCATAATTCAGAATATGTGTTTCTCTTTCCTCCGATCTTTAAGGTTTGTGCTAAGAAATCTGATGTTGGTCTTATGTTTGCTTTAAATGCAACTTAGCCATCTTCTTTTGTAGCTTTTAGTATTCTTTTTATGTGTTAATTTGACAGTTTGGCTAAAATGTCACCATGAGGATGCTCTTTAGTCAAATCTATTTGGAATCCCTTGGTTACCTAAGTAATGGTACTTATTAGCAATTGGAGATTCCACATAGAAAGGGAGGTTTTCAGCTACTACTTTTTTTGAATATGTTTGCCATATCTTTTCACCTTCAGAAATCTCCACAATTCTAACATTTCATTTAATGGATGTCACAAAGGTGTTGGGGTCTACATATTTTCTCCTCTGTGCTACCTCAAAAATGAGATAATTGTTTGTTCTAGAGTCTGTCTGTCCTCCTTGCAAATCTTTTGAATTTCCCATATAAAAGCATTGTTTTTCTAACTGTGTGAAACGGTCTATATTCTCATCTCATTTTTAAATGAGATGTTTTTTTAATACTTTAGGATCATTCCTTTAGGTTCTTGGTTAAGCACTTCATCTACCTTTTTTTTTGGGGGGGGGTGTTTGTTGCCAATTACTGGCTTTGTAGGAGATACCATTTTTGTACTGTCATGCCTGTATCCCTGTGTTATTTCTTTAAGGTTTATTTTTATGTGAAAGGCAGATTTTTTAGAGTGAGAAGAGACAGAATGATCTTACATCTGCTGGTTCACTCCCTAAATGGCTCCAATGGTCAGAGCTTAGCTGGTCTGGAGCCAGGAGCCTCCTCTGGGTCTCCCATGTGGGTGCAGGGTCCCAAGGACTTGCCATCCTCCACTGCTTCCCCAGGCCACAAGCCCGTTGAGAGTTGGATGGGAAGTGGAGCAGCTGGGACACGCACCAGCACCCATATGGGATCGCAGCACTTGGAGCTGGAGGATCACACTCTGGGCCCCTTAGTTCTATTTCTGTGCTTTGGTAAAATCTCCCTATAGGTTTTTTGGCTTTAATTATTGACTTTGTGCAGAGCACATACGGTGGCAACGTTGGAGTGCCTTATACCCAAAGGGGAGAGGATATTTTGTTGGCTCAGCCAGGTGTGGTACTCATAACAGTGAAGGTGCAGTGCTTCATTATGACACCAGAAGAACATGTGTTGATTCTTTTTAGTAATGCTGGCAGCCGAGGTGCCTGTACTCTAGGCAAACAGAGGCTTGGGCTGTGGGTTGGCCAGGGACGAGGTGGGGGACAGAAATTGTGGTAAGCTCTCAGGCCCAGAGGCAGCTCAGAATGGCTCCAGTTGTGCCTACAGGAGGCATGTGAACTAGGTTGAGTTCAACACAGAGCTGCAGTGTGTCTGCCCGAAGAATGTAATTGTGCTTCAGCAACCTTGGCTGTGAGAGCTTGAGCAAGACAATGCAGGAAACCTTCTCTGAAGCAAGGCTATATAATGCAGCCTCCGAGTAGCTCCCCTAACTGGGCTAAACACCTTTGAACCACACAGAAGCTCCAGTTGCTAGAATGTTGGTATGTATGATGATGGCTATCACGTGGTTTCTGACTTTCCCCTATAATGGGGAGTTCCCTTGCCCAGCAAGCCAGGATCAGTTTGCTGATTTCTTCCCATTCAGTATGCCACCGTCAGGTCGCCAATGTCTTCAGCATTCCTGTTTTTCCCATCCTGAGTTGTGGTGCCACCCTCACCTCAGCATTCAGCTGTTTGTGTTTCTGGTTCTTATTCCTGGAGATGACTAATATTGGGTATCTCTCTTCAGTCATCCTGCCTGATTTGCTTAATCCAGTCTTCCGCATATTCTGATTAGGGACTTTACACTATGTACATTTAAAGACGAACAGGGAAAGACTTCTAACAATTTTGCTCTGTTTTCTGCATAACTTGTCACTCTTATTTTCCCTCTTACTGCCTCATATCACTGTTTAATTGATGCTTTACAATAATAGTTTGGCTCTATTCATAACTTCTGTGTACATTGTGCAGATCTGTATGGTTACCATGGGAATAACAAACTTTTAAAGCTATATCTAACTGATAGCAACTTAATTTCATACAAAACTCCTTTACTGCCCTGTTCCCTACATGATACCACTAATTATACTTTTTACTTTGTATACCCATTAGCATAATGTATCCTTTATGTTATGTTTTTATCTTTTTATCCTATCAAAAGTGAAGTCACAAAAATATAATTACAATACAGGTCTTCATATTATCCCTGTTTATATTTCCATATGATTGAGTTATTACCTAGTATCATTCTTGTTTCAACTTGATTTCCCTTTAGCATTTTGTAAGGCAGGGATGATGGTAGTAACGTCCTTCAATTTTTCTTCATCTGGGAATGTCTGAATTTCTACCTTGTTGAAGGATGTGTAGTACTTTTGTGTATAGGTTTGCCCTTCATCGCTTGAAGCACTGTCTTGGAAGACGTTTGGAGTGGGTCAAACACCACTGGGGATGTGCACATCCCACACTGGACTGCCAGGCTTGAAAGCTTCTAGCTCCAGTTCCAGCTTCCTGTGCTGTGTCTTTATAGAGGAAATCTATTTTGATTTGGCCCTTATTACTATTTCTAGTATTGATCCTTTTTTTCCCCCGTGTTTTTAATGCAGATTTCCTTCAGGTTTATTGTGCAAGAGCTCCGTTAACATTTCCAGTACAGATACACACAGGAATAACGGCTGCAGAACCTACCCAATTACTTTCTACCAAGACTGCAAAGTCAGTGTTGGGCAGTAGTTGGGTTTTCTGTCGCCTTACATCACAGCGTTCCTTTTCATAGGTCTTTTCGTAGCCCTGTTGTGTTGAGGTGACTGCCAAAGACTTGAGGGAAATGTGTATGTAGAGTGTGTGTTTCCTTTTTTTTTTTTTAAGATTTATTTATTACAAAGTCAGATGTACAGAGAGGAGGGGAGACAGAGAGGAAGATCTTCTGTCCGATGGTTCACTCCCGAAGTGACCGCAACAGCTGGTACTGTGCCCATCCGAAGCCAGGATCCAGGAACTTCTTCCAGGTCTCCCATGAGGGTGCAGGGTCCCAAAGCTTTGGCCGTCCTTGACTGCTTTCCCAGGCCACAAGCAGGGAGCTGGATGGGAAGTGGAAGTGCTGGGATTAGAACCGGCGCCCATATGGGATCCCAGGGTGTTCAAGGCGAGGACTTTAGCCGCTAGGCCACGCCACCGGGCCTGTGTGTTTCCTTTCAAGGGCTTCCCAGCTGGAGATGTTCACCCAGCAGGCCTGCTTTCTCCACACTAAGTGAGGTTTACGTTCTGTAGTGAACTTCTGAACTGAAAAGCACTCAGAGGCAGCTGGCGGACAGTGGGTCTCAGAGTGCTTTTGTTCTCAATATAGTTACTGTACCCACCTCCTGCTTAGCACTGATGACTCACCTATACCTTCAGACACGCTCAAACTGTGCAGTTTATACACCTAAGCATGCCTAGAAACTACCAAATTTCTTTATATCAAGTTACTGAAACTGAAAAAATCATCAGCAATAAATTTAATTTTATAGATACAATTAAAAGACTGCATCTAAAAATACTTTCCCTTTGTTGTAGGATATAGCAAATGAAGAACACAAAAAAATTGAAATATTAAGAGCAGAAAACAAGAAACTGGAAAAGCAAAAAGGAGAGTTAATGATAGGATTCAAGAAACAATTAAAATTAATTGATGTTTTAAAAAGACAAAAGGTGAGTATACTCTGAAACTAAGATCTAATTGTTAGACCTTTATTAGTAATCTGTTTAGCTTATCTTCTTTATGTCTGTTAACTTTGTGCTAAGGACATCAATCTAAATTTATATGAAATGTTTTATGCACATTAAATATAACATTGATGTTCACATAAGAATGCATATTTTTGTAAGTAAATTATTCATCTGGGGAAATGAGACAGGTTGCTGTGGGTATTCCTAGTTACAGAAATTATCACATCCCAGAATGACTGTTAGTCCCTTCAGCTTTCTGCCGCTTCCCATCTTCAAGGGGAAGCCGTGATTCCAAGGCACTCGTGTTCCTTTCCCTAAACGCAATGCCTGTTAGAGAAAAGACAGGAATGTACGGTTCTGTCACTTCCCTTTATTGCACAGGTCAGGCATTACTGTTAGTTTTCTCAACGGTAGGTGGATGCTGTACCACTGTTGGGCAGAAAAAGGCTTTTGTTATAGTTCTTGAATTTACAAGGAGACTTCAAAAACCTCTGGTAAGATGGAATTAAAAGTTTGGGGTTTTTTGCAGAAATTTGTGTCTAGATATTTCATAACACTTTATGACATTTTTGAAGTTTACTTTTAATTACCAATTCAGATCTTTCTAGCATGCTTACTGAATTTGCAGTGTACATTCCTTCAGAAAGATTAAAAATGGACAATGATTTTTATAAACAGATGCATATTGAAGCTGCTAAGATGTTATCTTTCACCGAAGAGGAATTTATGAAGGCACTTGAATGGGGAAATACATAATGTACGTAAAGGATTTAAGTCTCTGATCATGCATTGTTGTAAAGAACTCCATAGATTTGAGGGATACAAAAATGTTATGTTACTCAGGTATGTAATTAGGAGATGGAACTATTTTATAAAATCAACAAGCAGAATTAAAACCTCAGTTCTTGCTTAAGAGTCAGACCTTCATTTATGAACAAGAATTATCTAAGAAATTTTCTATTTTACAGACACATTGTCATTCTTTTCTGCTTAAAGTAGACACAAAAAGATGCTTTAAAACAAAACTCTAAAGTATTTATTTCCCTGGCTAAACACAGACAGAAGGCAACAGTTCAGTTTGAGGTATCAGAAGTAAGCATAAGCAGAAAAAAAAAGGGAGCTTTATTATATGATGTTATATAATTCAAGTACTCAGATTGTTTGAATAAAACTTTCTGCTACTTGTTTTTACAGGTTATGAAATAATTTAGAAAATCCACATTATAATTTTTAATGCCACTGAAATGTAAAATTCAAGTTACACTGACATCTAGTGGTTACATACAAAAGAATCCAGGTTTGCCAAATTGGATGCCATCACTTATCTTCACAAGTTGTGTTTCTTTTCTGATATGCTTTCCTGAACTCTTCACCAAGCATATCAATGTCGTCCTCTTTTTTAAATACTCCCTGCAAGAGAAATATTTTTCAAGTTGCTTTTGGTGGCTTTTAAGATGACTAAAGCTTAAGTCTATATGTCTGTTATCTTGAAGGTAATGAAGCAGGTTTATGACATACTGAACACTTGAAAAATTAGTACTCTAAAATGTAACTGTTATTTACATATACAATATTGTTAGAATGTTTCCAGTTTATCACTCAGTATAGAAATAGGATTAGTTATTCTGTACCCTCCACATATTTTAAGACAGTGCTGTAATATAATGAGAGGAGGGGAGCTACAGTGACAAGAGGGAACTTTCTGGATTCCTGCATGGAACTCTCTCAGTTCTGTTAGTAATCAGGAAACAGTTAATGATGCAGAAAGTTTCTAGGTTTTAGATAATCACTGAAATTGCTATTCCTCCCACCTAAATAGCAAATAGCTGTTTAAAGTAAGATCATTTAAATCTTTTAGACTGTAAGATAATGACATGGACCATTGGGGCCATTAGGCCCGCTTCCTACTTTCACAGTTTCGCCTACAAATATTCAAAACCCAAAGATTCCCCTAGAAAGTGAAGTCAATTATATACATATTTTTAACCAATAGAAGATCTTGTGTCCAAGAAATAACTCATAATTTCTCTTTCCTGTATTTCTCCCTTGGTTAGCACTGGGCTGAAGATATTGATTTTCCTATTTGGAGGATGGTGATTTCACTTATAAAAGTATGTCAAGGAATTGCAGTAGCCAATTTAAGCCTTTTATGCTAAAAGTATAATCGATTAGGATTAACTCTTACCGTTAATAATGTACCAAGACCATGTCTAACTTTAGAGGTGTTATGGGCGCAGAGATGGTCAAAGCCTGGCCAATCCTAACAGAGCAAGCCCTGTAAGCTCTCTCTCACCATTCAGGTGAGGAAGAATGGACAAAGCTCACTCACCTTAGGAAGATATCCTAACAGATGTGTAGCATGTTCTTTGAGAAGTTTCAGCCTTTCTTCTTCAATGACTGCATTAATGCATCCTTGTCTTTTTTGTTGCAACTGCCATTCTTCCAGTTCTCGTTGCTGGAAATGAGAGTCAAATTTTATTAGTTGTCACACAATACATTACTCTTTTAAAAATCTTTCCACTGCAAGAGTAGTTCTTACAAGAGTTATTGGTGTTAAAAAAAAGAAAGGTTAGTGGTATATATCTATTTTGTTTCTTACAAGTTACAAAAATGATAGTTATGGCCAGGATTTTAGGGAAGCAAGTACACATGTCTATTATGGGAAAAATATTCAAAGGGATTCTCTAATAAATTTAATATTTATGTAGCAGGAGTTAAGAAAACAAAAATGGTGAAACAGGGAAATATGTAAGATACATTTTTTCTCAGAAAAGTGAATTAGTTATATGAGCATATCTATGTGTACTTACTTATACTTACTTGATATACACTGAGTATATCAAGAAGTTCATGGAAATGGAATTGTTTTCATGTAAAATATAAAATCCATGCATAGTCTTCATAATACACATTTTCCATTAACTACCTCTCATGTATATGTATTTTAAAAACCTGTATGAAGCAGCTAGAGTCCAGAAGAACCAGGCAAGATTCCTGTCATTAAGATAATCACAAAATATTCTGTGCCTCCTAATAGAGATGGCTTGAGCTTACAGTTTATGGTTATATCCAAGTAAACCACTTCAACAAAGAACACTATTTTTACTTCAAATAGTTCCCTTTAAATTCTTGCCAACAATTACTATGAAGTAGCAGAAATGGTGTTTTTCCTTCGTTATGTGCACCACAATGACAGTTTTTTCATCCACTTCTTGTCAGAGACATGCGTAAAGAAATACACACGTCAGCTTGCTACAACCAAAGGCAAGCTCCCATGTAAGCCTGACTGCTGCTCAAAGCTAGTGGAAAAACAAAGGATCCTAAGACAGCTTTGGTGCGGTGCCACTTTAAATGAGGACTGTGTCATGAGAATGTCTGCCTCCCACACAGAAGGGTCTCCGTGAGGGTTCAGTGGATGAATAGGTGAGTCAGTTGCTAGTCAATGACAATGAACCCTTCCCCCCCCCAAAAAATATCCTTTCCTTACTTTGTCTGCAAGGAACTGGTTGCGACGTTCCTCTATCAGCTTTTCCACAGCCCTCCTGTGTTCCAGTTGCTTCATCCTTTGTTTCTGAGCGTTCATGAGTTCTATGCGGTCGTCCTCTGCGAGCTTGGCCAGCATTGTTCTCCGGAACAGCTCCTCTTCCTCCTTCGCAGCCTGCAGAACCAGCTCCTTCAAGGCCATCTGGTCTTCAAAGTCTTGCTTCATCTCCTTTTGCTTTCTCCGTTTCTCTTCTGCTTCTTCCTAATCAACACAGGTAAAAGTTAATGAACATTCCCATATACTGGATTAATAAAGGAAGGTTACGCTTAGCATTAGAATAGATCATAAAAGCCGAAAATTAAGTATTTCACAGTAACATTTTGCCCCATCTTGTTAAAATTGGTTCTGTTAAGGACATTGTACATTTGTATATATTTATCTTGAATTCTGTACTCAGAATTGATAAGTGTTTCCTGAGTTACATATCAACATGTTTTTACATACGTGAGTTTATTAGGTTATAGTTTGTATTACTATTTGTTTTTGAAGTTATACCTTCCACTGCACTAATATCTGGATTATTTTACCTTCATTATGAATTACATCCTTTGCCTACAATAAATGGGATCTGATACTCTGTTTATCCAATGACGATCATTCCTGTACACTATTGATTCATATTATGTTAATGTAACTGGACTATATTAATGTATCTCTAAAAAGTCTATGTATCTTTTACATTTTTAATGCAGTTAGCCACTAGGACTTCATATTAGCCATTTGGCTTACCAATTGGGATGACTCCACCCATCCCAGCTGTCTCCCATCAATAAACAAAAAAACAACCCAATTAGAAAATCCGTGTAAGACATCGAGAACTTCTCCAAGGAAGCTGGTAAATAAGCATACACAGAAAAATGCAGAAGGGCCCGGTGCGATAGCCTAGCAGTTAAAGTTCTCACCTTGAATGTGCTGGGATCCCATCTGGGCACTGGTTCTAATCTTGGGATTAGATCCAGGGTCCCATCTTTGGGACCCTGCACCCACGTGGGAGACTGGAAGAAGCTCCAGGCTTCGAACTGGCTCAGCTCCAGCCATTGTGGCTACTTGGGGAGTGAGCCATCGGATGGAAGATCTTCCTGTCTCTCCTCCTCTCTGTATATATGCCTTTCCAATAAAATAAATCTTTTTTAAAAATGCAGAAAAACTAACAGTGCTCACACTGCCGATGGGCATGCTAATTGGTAAGCTACTCTGGAAACACTGTGGCAGTTTAGTTTATAATTGTTAACATGAAATTCTCAAACCCAGCTAATGGACTCTGAAGCACTGAATCCCAAAATAAAACTTTTGTTTATATAAAAATGTACACTTGAAGATTAGCAGATTCATGTGAGAACCGAAACGTGGACACATTCAAGCTGTCCTGTAATGCCTGAATGGTCACAAACCGCTGCAAGGATCCCAGGGAATGCTGCTCTGGTAAAGGGACAAAGCAGGGACACAAGCAGCCGCGCGGAGCAGGCTCCAGGGAACGGAAGATGCCGACTGCCATAGCTCACAGCTGCCTGATGCCATTACCTGAGTTTTTGAGGCACTTTGAGTGAGGATACAGGTCCATCAGTGTTTTCGTATCTGTCAGAACCTCAGTGCTTCTATGGCTGAATAACATTCTAACACCTGGAAAGTGTCCATTCCTCAGCTGACAGAAGTCCGCCTTATTTCCACTTTCTGGCTGTCATGACCAATGTTGCTGTGAACATTTATGTCTAAGTTTTTGTAGAGAGCGAAGATTATTTTTGACCTTCCTTGTTTTCTAATATATACATAAAGGCATGAATTTCCTGTAAAAACTATTTAAGCACCAGCATGTATTTTTAATAAATCCATTTGAAATCTTTTTATAATCTCTTATTTCCTTTTCTCCTTGCTTATTTTGAATATATTCTCTAGTTATAATATTTTTCAGATATATTCATTATTCAAAATTTTTCTTTCTACAACATTAGTGAACATTTCCATGTGAACGTGAATGGAATTTGTATTGTTGGTGAAATATTCTCTAATGTCATTTAGGTCAAGTCTTCTGATGCTGTAACAATATGCCTGTGATTCTGACTGCATAAGCTAGGTATTAATGAGAAATACATACTAAAATCATCAACTCTCGTGGGTTTGTAAGTTTCTCTTTCCTCTTTTGTCAGTGTTGCTTTCGTGCTGTCAGGCTTTATTATTGGGGTTCACAGGCCTTTCAGACTGCTACATCCCCTAACCGACTCTACCCCAGGAGCACCATCAATTCCCAAGTCTAACAAAACCACTCCAATTGACTTTTGATTAGTGCCTGCACAGTGCTGTTGTCTCCATCCTTTTAAACTCTCAACATTTAAACTGTCTTTACTGTAGGCAACATGGATGCATTATTCTTTTTA